AGAGGACTATTTACCTATTTTTTCACTCTACCTAGGCATATCCTTCAGGATTTTTAAAACGTAAAATTTAGATTTAAGCTATTATCACCAAATATGTGTAATTAAAAAAAACTAAATGATTCTTCAGTGATTCCCCGTACCTGTATTGGATAGTTTAATTATATGTAAATATTACGATTATTTATTGATTCAAAGGTTACCGTGTTTGCCCCAACCAGTCTGATTTAAGATTGCCTCTATTCTGTAAGCACAATACTTAATTAATTTATCATCCACAATTTCCCGGATCTCTTCAGAGTCCAGAATGATTTATTAAATAAATAAGCCTACAAATCTTTACTCACGGTATGATTTAGTCAGTACGGATCTACTCCTGTTTTAGACTATTTTAACTATCTAAAAATAGTCCGTGTCTGTTTTGAACATATTTTTTAATGGTTTAATTAGTTAATATTCCTTCGATAATGTCTTCACCGCTTAACTGGCTTGTTTATGAAGTTAATCCCTTTGGTACCGTGTTTCACGGACCTGTATGATTTAAGGCCTAGCAAAACAATTATTCATCTGTGCATGCCCGAAACTATTGAGATTAATTTTTTAATACTCGACAAATATTATATTTTTAAGGTAATATATAGTATTTTTAATTTGGCATCGATAATCAAACTACGTTCATCAGAAAAAGGTGACAAGTTGAATGCATTTTTTGTAGATTTTTCAAGTACTTCCTATACTATTGATATAAAAATCTCTTATATTAAAACTTTCATCAATAGGCGTCTCGACGCATGTTTTATATGTTTTGAGGAGTAATTATTGTACTACTGTAGTAGTACGTAACACGTCCGTAGCGGTTTGGTGCAAGGGTGGCATTTCAACTTAGTTTGAATCAAAGAAGTCCTCTCCTGTTCAGCTTGTTCGTAAACGAGTTGCCAGAGCTGCTGGAAGGTGGCTGTAATTTCGGTGGCACGAGGGTAAAGGATTGCTAGCCTCCACAGCAACAGCGTTACAAAATAATGATTATAAATACTAATGATAGTTGGAAACCCTTGCAGTAAATATGACGAAATCCAAAATAATTGTTTTCACGAAGGGTGGTATAGAGTTTTGGGTCATGATAAGTGGTGGTATAGGGCAAACAGGTTAAAGTGGTAAATTGCAATAATTATTTGGGAATGTTATTTACTATGTCATAAGAAAAACATTTCATAGAGAAGTAGAGACTAACTACAGTATTAATTAGTTATGGAAAAAGCTGGTAGACAACAACAAAGTTCCACTGCAAATTAAAATATAGGGAGTTTATAATATAATCGTGTTAAAACATTTTATTGACGTTAATGTTAAACAAATACGGATATAAAATATATCAACAGAAAGGAGACTCTTAAATTTGTCATAGATACCCCTACAAGTGCTTAATGTGCCGTGAATTAGTCGTGGAACAAGTTTCCAATCTAGGCTGTAAATTGTCCCATACACCGGCTAGCATCGCAAGGTTGATTGATTCTACGGCATTGCGAATTCGTCCATGGAGCTCTTGGAGTGTTTGAGGCATTGGCGGTACATAAACCTTGTTTTTACATAGCCCCATAGAAAAAATCACACACCGTAAGACCAGGAGATCTAGGGGCCATTTGGGAAGAGTTGTCATCGCCGAAATGTTTTTTTATCATTTTGAAAATTATGCAAATACGTCCAAGAAACCCCGAAGACTGATTATTGAACAGCTGATTATAAATCTTAGAAACGTGCTTTTCAAGCATATGTTTTCAATATTAATGTGGGACAAGAATTGAGTGAGGTACACGCCATTAAAACCAGGGGCCCATTTCATAATAAACTACAAGTTACAAGTTACAACTTGTAACTTGTAATTTCCATTAGATTTGCATTGGGCGATCAGCTGATTTACTAATAATATTAGTTTGTACTTTATTATGAAATGGGCCCCTGAGGATTCTTTTATAAACGTCCTGTATTATGTTTTGAATCTATTTTCAGAGATATTTTTTGCTACGGTGCTCAGTTTGGAAGTTTCCAGAAATTTCTCAGATAGAAAATGCTTGGAACACGTTTATAAAAAGGATGTTTAGATTGCTAAATATCACTTTAACTATACTGTTTACTTAGGAACTTGTTTTGAAAAATTGTATTTCTTTAGTCTACAAACTAACTTGACTTACATTTTAAAGTTTTTTATTTGGCAGAATCTCGTTTACCAAAAGTTATTGCTAAGTCTGTGATTGGGAAAAAATATGTTTAGGCCAAAGAGTGGAAACGTCTAGGACGGAAACACGGGTTTTATATTGTTTTCGGGACAGCAGATGTTTTAGGAGATTAGTGAAGATAATAGAGGCACAGCTGGAGAATGATATGGTTGGCAGGGAGTGTGTGGTGTACATCACAATATCACCAGCAACTGCTTGCCGTCGACCTTGACCTAGGGCCCAGGAATCCTTCTAAGAGTTTTCTCACTATACATCGATGCAAGGTCTTACTTATCTCATGGGTTAGGCCCATAGATATATAATAACAACAACAAATTTTGTTATTATATATCTATGGTTAGGCCTAAGCAGAGCTAGTTGATTGGAACCAAACAGTTTTTCATTTTGTTGCTATTTGCTCTATTTTTATAAATATTAGATAATGCATAAAATACATGAATGATAGGGATTAGCATAAATTGGCAACCTTTATGAGAGAGGCGTAGAAGATGATGTGGGATGTAATTAGAGAATTTAATCAAGAATAAATAATGATGAAAAATATTGTCTATTCTTTCAAAATTCAGGCTATCAATAATTCATTGATTTAATTACGGGAACGGGGTTTTATGGGGGGTTCTACCAATAAAAGTTATTGGTCTCAAAACATATTTTTTCTAATTTCTCTCTAAACTATCTTAAAGAGTAAAAAAAAATAGTATATTAAAGTGTTTTTGTACGTTTATTGGTTATGGATAAAATTCTAAAAGATGTAAACTTAAAATCCCCATGTCATTCTTACGGAGAATAAGAGTAAACATTTGTAGTTTGCTTGTTTATGCATTTATTTAAATCAAAATTGGCAAACTTATTTATTTTATACTAAGCTACGAATATTAAAAAAAAAACACTTGATTACCCTCCCTGTAGCAGCAAACCTAGATACTTATTAAACCTAATGTTATTTAAAAAATATATTTAGGTGAAAATCAAATCATAAAAATGGAAATATTCTTAGGACGCAGTGGTAGTCTGGTGATAAGATATTGGCGATTTGCTGCATCACATCTGAAGGCGCTCGCAGGTTTTGCTGCCACAGGGACATTTATTTAAATAAAAGTCCAATTACCTAGCATAATGTGGGATTACCTACAATTAAAATTACCTAGCATTAATTACCAATTAATGTGGGACTAAGCCAAAGCTTTGTTGAGTATCAAGCATACCCTTAGTCTAAAACTAGCTTAGCCTTGTTAAGTCCTTCCTAAGAACGTGAAGATAAGTAAAAAAATCTAGCCAGGTAATATATAGGTTACGAAAATTAATAATATTCTCTAATAAGTATTTAGTTGAGATATAATTTTTACGGTTATGTAAGCGAATTAAACATTCGACATAAAAGACTATTTTCTTCACATTACCTTCCATATTTATAAATCTATGTATTTTATTATCTTTAGTAATCACATTATTGTTTAGTGCAAACATCTATATCAGAATGTGTGGAATATTTGAAAAGTAACAGTCACAATCATACTCAGAGGTCCTATATGATCTCTGCGTTTCAGTGTTTGAAGATATTACGTAGACCTCGGATGTGCTGACTGAGAGTCAGAGAGTGTGGAGTGCTTGCGTGCGCTACGGGAGCGACCTGGCGGGTGCCCCGGGAACCTCCAAGCACCCCGAAGCACTCTATGTTTACCATGTCACATCCGAGGACCTAGTTGAAAATCGTAAAAAACATACTAAACAGGCTGTAAAGATGGAGAATAACACGAAAAAAACAGCAGATACATCCGAGGTCTCGAGTGCAAGACCTCGTTTGTGCGGTGAGTCCTCGGAAGTGCGCTTGAGGTTTGTGTCAGGACCTCGCTTGTGCGCCGCTACAAACTCACACACACACACAATCACCACATTGAAAACCACCTTTTTGGGTTCAGTGGTACCCAAAACGAATATTTCCACTAAAAACTCAAAGTAGAAAATTTTGACGAAAACCATTCTTTCTCCATTAATATGCCATGTATAAGGAGGGAAAGTAAAAATGAACACACTTTTATAATGGTTACCGAGAACAAACTGTTACGTTTAATCTGATATTGAAGGTCTTACCTTAGCAATACTACATATTATTTTATTTAAAAATATAAAAACATTTAAACTTATCACATTTCAAATTACAGTTGACTCAATAGTACAATAGTTAGGGATAAAAACTATGGGTTTTTTAAATGTCAGGATATCCTCACTTTAGTTTGGGAACATTGGTAACTGTCCAAATCATAGTCACCATGGTTTTGATCACTAACTGTACCATTTTCGTGTCAACTGTAATTTGGAATCGTTATTTAGATTTTTAAAACATAAATGATAACACGTGTTTCATCATTAATGATTAATGTTAATGATTGGTATGCACTTGTTGGACAAGTAATTTAAAAGCACTTTCTACGGGATACTATAGTAAAACCTGCAAGATGCAACTATTATAATACTAGGACTGTATCAAGTCATAAACGTTTTATTCACTTTTATTTGGCGAGTTGGTAGATCAATAGACTATGGGATGTGGGATTATCACAGTGATTTTATGGTTTACATGCTTGTCTCCACTTGCTTGATTGGTAACATTTATTCTTGTGTATTCTACTGTATCTGCTCAACCTGCTTACCTGTCAAACAGTACTTTACTGTTCTTGTTTGTATTTTAAATTTTATGAGTAACTCAATTATCAGTTTATTCTTGTTAACACAGTAGTAACTTATATCCTGATATTTGTTCTGTGTTAGGTTTTATGGAGTCTCTTCGGGCAGAACTCAACTCTCAAAGTAACAACGATATTAAGGTTACTACTGTTCTGCCGTACTTTATAAACACCAGTGCCTCTTATGTGGAATTTTTTGATTTGAGGTGAGAACATTTTAATTGAACTCTTGTCTATTTATTACTTTTACGTAATGATTAAGTTAAAGGGGACAGATATTGGTTGTTTTATTTGTTGTTGTTTCTCTTAAATCTAGTGTGCAAATTATCAATAATATGCTGTTTAAGGCCCCCCTCATATCCAACGTACAATTAACCATTAATTGGATTTTCAATTAGATTACCAAAAATCTTTGACCAATATTAATTTTGTAAATTAAAATGTAATATTTAATACAACTCACAATATTTTATTAGAAGTTAGAACAGACGTACAATAGACTAAAAATCCCAAAATAATATACAGCCAATTACATTGTAATATTTAAAAATCCATTTGTACTGCTGTTTTAAAAAGCTGAACAAAGCCAATAAAAACATTTTGTTTATGGAGTTGTTTTATAACCTTAAATAATATTCAGATTTTCGTATACTTAGGAAAGGTCAAAAGATAAATTGGATACCCCATGTTACATTCCTGATCTTTGAAATTGGACCAAACGTTGATTTGGTTCTTTGGATATTCAAGTTTTAATTGTGTGTTTACATCAAAACGTTAAAGATAAGTATGTTTTTATAAGCTGTAAGAAAGGGGATTAACCCCGTACCCAAGGTGCTCATCTATGCAGACACTCTGTTCACATTACACTTAGTCGACCAGTTGGTGTGAACAGAGTTGAACAGTAGCATGAGCATCGATTTACAAATTCCTTTCCCAGCTGATGTGAGCTAGGCGATGACCGGTAGGGCTGACTTCCAAGAAACACCGTTAACCTATTAGCCACACACCCTATCGGTAATCAGCCAATGAGAAGGGCTAATGATGAAGATGGAGGGGTCAAGACTCTTGGAGCTGGAGGATCTGAAGGAAAACATCGAGGAGATCACCACGGGCCACCGGAGAAAGAAGATCGGGAGTTTGGGAGTGCGTGTATCGGTGTGTGTGCTTCTGGGACAATAGACAGTATGTAGAAAGAATAAAATATCTAACTAACACTTTGTCAAACATAAAAGTCATATAATTTGTCAGTAACTAATTCTTTTATACTTTCAATTGATTTTCTTTTCTTGTAAATTTAACGTTGCAAATTAATTTATCTTATTATTGTTGTTTTTTGCATTTTCTAAGTTTTCTTTTGCTGTTGTAACACTTTGTTACTTTTGTTGTTTTTTCGTAATTTAAATTTTTGTTCATTACACGTTGAGTAACACCCTTAAGCAGTCTTATGTCTCATTAACCTAACACCTCTTGACTAAGCTAAGCGAGTGTAACATTTAGGAAACTTAAACTTAAAGTGAGGCATGGGACTCGCATGGTGGAGGCAGCCGCACGGCGAAGGCTGTCTTTGCATTTTAACTAAACAGTAACGATCCTACATTTATTTTAATAAACTATCTTGAAACAAATTATATGACTTGTGAATTATTTTAGTTTATTTATAGTCAATTATAGTCACTTAAGTTAATATCAGACTCACGAATCGTAAAATGTATAGGGTGTTAGTTTAAGATAAATCTTAAAGATTATGAACAAAACAATATAGGCCACTAACCCAAATAAAAACACGTATCTTAGCTAGGCCAATAACCTTAATAAAACCACCAAATGTAACAATAGCTTATGTAGGTTTGTCACATTACTAAAACTTAAAAGATAATTTATGGATTTAGATTTTGATATTGTTAACATTGACATATATAGCTTAAACAAAACTGAGGCTTTACAACTAGCTTGTCAATATAAAATACAACTCCCACCCATCCCTTAAACCGAAACCCTAGCCAACCTAAGAACAAAATTAACTTTCACCAAAGATGTTTTCAAGACTGCATTTAGACATCCTAGTTTTGCTGAGGCATTAACAGACTTGTTCTTTAACAACAAACTAGAAGACAAAACAAAAGAACAGTTTAGAGATTTGCTAAAATTCTAGAACATACTTCAAGAACCAACATATGACACTATAAACACTTCTGACGACCAAACACAACCTGAACCTGAACATTCACAAAACCTTTATGAAAACAGGTCAATAATATAACACGAACAATTGTTACATAGCTTTAATTCGTTAAACTTAAATCAAGAAACCCATCAAAATCACAACCAACCAGAAACCCCTAACACATCAACACAAATCGTATCTCAACCTAAATCATATATAACCAACAAAAACATGGCTGATGAGTCAAAAGAGAAACTTCCCCTAATAAAAGCAGGCACATACTCAGGTCTTCCTTCAGAAGATGTACATGAATTTATTCAAAAATTCAATATTGCATCAAGGTGCAACCATTGGTCCGAAAAAACTAAAATTGAACTTTTCCCCACACACTTAACGTCTACCCCGTATAAATGGTTTGCACTCTACAAACATGAAAACAATGAAACTAGTTGGTCAAACCTAGAGTCTGAATTTATTAAAGCATTCAGCCCAGTTGCATTAATTGATGACTTACAGACGGTTCTTGAAAATCGAACACAAGGAGAAAATGAATCTCCAATGCAATTCCTATACGAAATCATTCACCTTTCCCACAGAATAGATCCCAATATGAATGATGCAAAAATAATAAAATTCGTAATTCAGGGAATAAAACCGGAAATTTGTAATGAACTAGTGAGGATGGAAAACAACTCCCTTAAACAGCTAAACGAAAATCTGCTAAAAATTGAATCTCAAAGAGCTATTAGGAATAAAAATCAGCTAAAATACCAAACCTCAGCTGAACGTGTTACCCTAATAAAACCTCAAACAAAGTCGGTAACATATGAAAATGACGAATTAGACAACTTAAAATTAGAACTTAGGAACATAAAAGATACATTATTAAGCCTCAAGGCCAAACCTGATGAAACAAACTACCCCAGGGACAATACACACAAAGAAACTTATCATTGTTCAAGATCCACACAAAGAAGAGACATTTCCCCTCATGCCAGATATGACAGGTCAGCTGAAAAATATAGGCCCAGAAGCACTTCTCGAAACTCACAAAATTTATCGAGAAGCTCTTCACCTCACAATTCACATCACTCCAACAGACAACCTATCCCAAGAACCAGATTAGATTACAGATCACCACACCGATCACAGAACACTCCACTCTTTTGTCACATATGTAACATAAACAATCACGCCACAGAAAATTGTTGGTACAATGCTAGAGCTAACCGTAGGAATCCAAAATACTCAAATACACCTTCCAAATTTTGTGCATATTGCAAAAGAAATAACCACACCATTGACCAGTGCTTTAAGCGTCCTGCTAAAAGGGAACAGTTTCCAAAAAACTTCTAAAGCAGGGAAGTCAACTACCACAAAATAGATATTTGGCTTCCCAAGATAAACAAATACAAACAAGATATTTCTGGAACACAACTAAACGTTTCCCACATTTCAACAAATCATCAATCTTAGAAGCATCCAATAATTCAAAATGTAATATATTTTCACCATTAAGCCCTCAATACCAATACAACTTTCCAACAATTGAGGATTCGTTTCGTGTAAAACATAAAGTTAAAGTAACCCCAATAACTAAATCACTTCCTCCAAGAACCACAATAACATCAAGAAATATTCAACACACACAACTCGAGAACCAGACCAACATCATTCCTACAGCTACGGCTGAACCTAAGACGACCTTGCAGCCAGCTGATGGAGAAGATAACGCACCACAACAAACGCCTACGTCACAAGCGTCGACCCACTGCTGCCTAGGAACACCGACTCAGCAACTGACGTCACAGCACCGCACAGCTGATCAGCCCAAGACTCAAGATGTGGCACGTACATCTGTTAACTCTTCACGACCTTCAACGTCGGATGACAACAACAGCTTCAGTACGAGTACATCACTTCCAGGAACCTCTACGGATAGACACGTGGATTCATCAACTGCAGGAGTTTGTTTAACAGCTAGCGAAGCAACAACCCTCCAGAATCAAATTGACGAAGAAGTTTTCCAACAAAGTTCTAAACACCTAAATTTGAGAACCCTAATTAAATGTGATAAAAGACAATCTAAATGCACACTATCGGATATTTATGACTTAATTTTTAATGTTAAGCAAACAAAAACATTCCCTACATTGACACTAAATATTGATATACCAGAAAATGGACAGACTTATTCAGCTACCTTAGATACCGGTTGCAACTATTGCCTGATAAAATCATCAATTGTAAATAACCTATCCCTTCAAACAGATAACTTACCCTTAATTGTAGCTGCTAACGATCAACCAGTCAAAGTATTAGGAAAACTTTTACTACCAATAACAATTAATGGCTCCGTGTATCCAACATACTTTTACGTAATTGAAGATTTGGCAACTGACGTAATCTTGGGAAATTGGTTTTTATTCCAAAACTGTATGGAATTGGATTTTAAGAAACAGGAAATCAGACTAACGAATAAAGATAAAGTTCATTGCATCACAATGGACAAATCTTGGTTACTTAATTTAAAACCGTTTGTTCTAACAACTATAGCGGAGTCTAGTAATGACATGATTGAAATTAAAGTTCCTACGGACACAGTTATTGCTCCCCAACAACACTACAAATTAATGGAAATCTTGCCAGAACATCATCAATATGAACTTGATATAGATTTAAATTACCGAGACAAAAAGAACCTCCACTTTTATATCTCATCAGAAAACGAAAATTCACAAAAGTTTATTTACGCCTCCCAAAAAAAAGTCCCATGCCTCACTTTAAGTTTAAGTTTCCTAAATGTTACACTCGCTTAGCTTAGTCAAGAGGTGTTAGGTTAATGAGACATAAGACTGCTTAAGGGTGTTACTCAACGTGTAATGAACAAAAATTTAAATTACGAAAAAACAACAAAAGTAACAAAGTGTTACAACAGCAAAAGAAAACTTAGAAAATGCAAAAAACAACAATAATAAGATAAATTAATTTGCAACGTTAAATTTACAAGAAAAGAAAATCAATTGAAAATATAAAAGAATTAGTTACTGACAAATTATATGACTTTTATGTTTGACAAAGTGTTAGTTAGATATTTTATTCTTTCTACATACTGTCTATTGTCCCAGAAGCACACACACCGATACACGCACTCCCAAACTCCCGATCTTCTTTCTCCGGTGGCCCGTGGTGATCTCCTCGATGTTTTCCTTCAGATCCTCCAGCTCCAAGAGTCTTGACCCCTCCATCTTCATCATTAGCCCTTCTCATTGGCTGATTACCGATAGGGTGTGTGGCTAATAGGTTAACGGTGTTTCTTGGAAGTCAGCCCTACCGGTCATCGCCTAGCTCACATCAGCTGGGAAAGGAATTTGTAAATCGATGCTCATGCTACTGTTCAACTCTGTTCACACCAACTGGTCGACTAAGTGTAATGTGAACAGAGTGTCTGCATAGATGAGCACCGTGGGTACGGGGTTAATCCCCTTTCTTAACATACTGACAAACATACTGACATAACATATAACATACATAACATACTGATAAATAATACAGTAAATTTAAAATTAGGTATGCAGGTGAAGAAATTAAAATACAAAAAAAACTTCAAAAGAAATCACTTGGTGGTAATCAAAATGAAAAAAAAAAATGAAATCAGCATTAAACACTATATTTTTTTACAATTTTAGAGTAGTCAAATGTATATCATAATAAATATAAAATAAAATATTTTAATTGTTAATATAAAATTAATTACTCGTATGAACACTGTCAAATAATTTCTCTTTGTTATTTTTCAGGATTCCACCAGTGTCAATAGAAGAGGCAGTAGAGGCCACAGTTGAGGGTATAAAAAGAGAAGAAGTTGTTTTTACCATTCCTCGGGACATGTACTTTTCAGTTCACCTATTTCAGTAAGTTGTTGTGTTTAACAAGAGTACTTTATAATACATTTAGGGAATAAATTCTTTTGAATCTATAGTCGACAATGAGCCTTAACTTTCAATTTAAATGTGCACTGCTTCAGATATTCTATAAACTTGTACAGTATATGCCTACCATGCTATAATACGAATCAATTGTGACATCAAAACTTAATTATGGTGCCAACGACGATCTTGCCGATACTAATGCTTACTGAAAACTCAATAATAGAAAACTAGAATTTGATACATATCTGATTGTAATAAGATTATTTTTAATGTTCTTCTTACGTGTATAGTTATGTTAATAGGGTTTAAGACACCCTATTTAAAATAATGAGAATCATATTTTTATTGAAAGTACTCCATATTATATTATTCTCTTGCCGAATAAATATACTGGCTAGTGATGACTTAAACAAGTATTGATTATTTTACTGAATAATTATAACAACTGTTAGGCCTAATGCAAACCAAAATTACCGCATGGATATATCTTACAAATTATACAATGAATATTGTTATATGATTTCAGATTATTTCCACAATATATTATTGACAAGTTTAAAGAAATATTCTACTTCAGGGTTGCACTCCCGTCAGAAGAAAGAAGGAAGAAAGAACCTACACAACATATAATATCTCAACTATCCTCTAAATAACTACAATATGTCAAGTAATCTACTAGGATACATTACCAGTAGGCCTACTGTAGTTTAATCACTAATGGTGATACAGAAAGGAGTGAATGAGATATTTCATCCAACAGTATTAGCCTACTGTTTGAGTTGTTATGTTTATTCAAGGAATCTTAGCCTGGCCTTTGATAAAAATTCCTTTTAAATGAAAGATTTTGATTTTAAAACTAACGTTCATGTGTGAACATTAGCAAAGGATATTATACCTAAATTTAGGTGCTGTACATAAGAATATTGATTAGTCAGTAGTTATATTCTGTTCAATATGATACTGTATATTACTTTTAATTCCTGTAAAATCATACAATTCCGGTGCCAAAATCATCAAGACTTGTTATAAGCAAGTGGTAGAATAGTGTATATTCACTTTGGATAATGTTTTAGATTTAATAGTATTGTACAAATTTATGTCATAGTTTTTAGTTACTCAAACACTCAAATCAAAATTTTAATTTTAAAATTTAAAATAGTGAAATGTAATTAAAAATTCAAACGTATTACAATTTTTCTTTGAATAAGGTTGTGAAATCAAGACACACTTTAAATAGTCTAAGTGACTGGAGGGAACAATCAATGTAAAAAAAAAACATCACACATACATATTTAACAATAGTAATAAACTAATTGATATTGTTGTAGTTTAGTATTGTAATACTAACAAGTGACACAAAATTTACATTTTTACATTGTAAAAAGGGTTAATAAAATTAAATAATAAATGTTTTAGTTATTCTTGTGCACACCTTAAAAACAAATTTGGAATAGTTTCTACTTAAATTAGTTAATGTTTATAGATAAATTAGTATGACCATAGTAGTAATGCAAGTGTAAGTTCACATAATGGAAAAAAGACGTTGAAATAGCCAAAGCGAAACGAAAGTGATTGTACGAGACATGAAAATGATCTGACAAAATGTAATTAATGATTTTAATTCTTTATACCAAATTCTTCCTTTTGAGTGACGTTATTGTAGAAGTAGTATGCATGCCTCATACAGTATACAGGCACAACTGATTATATGATGTAGTATAAAACAATCCATTTTGGTATGATTGTAATGATAGTTCGCATAGTTGATGGGTCATTCTTAATACAAAACGTAAAATCAATCCAAGCATGCCATGTTTTTGTTTTTTAAAGGAAGCTTAAATGCCATTAGGAACCTACAAATAATACAGTTGCATTGGCTGTAAAATCTAAATGTAAGTCATCTAATCATTATAAGATTGATTTTTAAATCTTCACAATTGTATAGTTAAGTACCTCCAGTAACTAATTCTAGTCGATGTGTTAGTCCTTGAGTAGTTTTATGCATAATCGTGAAAAGTAATCATTACGAAAAAAAATTAATATAACAATCTGGTTGAATTATTCCTTACTATTTTCCTTTCCTTCATCTTACCTAAATGCCCAATGTTAATGTTTGGAACAGCTAGATTTCATAAGAGGAGATAGTGTTGGCAGTATGAGAAAACCGTCATTATCAGTAAAGGGAAATAAAATACAACTGATAGTACAACCTGAACACACAAGCAGAGGTATTGGAGCTCAAAGTTTAATGTAGCAATTATCACATTGTATCTGTACATTTTAGGTTATAACCGTGTCTGACAAAATTTTAGATACTTGTTTGTGCGGTGGAAGATACAAAAAGTTTGTGCTAAAACAATAGGCTCAATAAGTTCTTTACGAAACATCAGTGATTATTGGAATTTTGTGTTTAGGAATATTTTGTTAGTCAAAAGAATGGTGTATGATGATGTGTAAAAACAGCTCTCGACTTGGACAAATACTGTAATACTGTTACGAATTTTATTTCATTACTCAATTGTTACAATCAATTGAATATTACAAATTATGGCAGAACCAAGGATAGTAACAGAACATTCTTCTAGTAAAAGAAGTATTTTATTTGTACTGTTAGAACTTGTGTATTTTATAGTTTTGTTAGTGCCAAACATTTTAAGTGCATTTGTACGGAAGATTTTTCCACCTAAAAGCAAACGGCTTGATGGATTAGTCGTATTGGTAAGTGAAAAATTATTTATTGATTTTAACATTTCAACTAGTAATACTATTACAGTGTAAAGTTCGAAATATACATTTTATTATTTTGTTTATTTTATTATTTGGTTGAATATTGACTTTTGAGGGGAAGGATCCGAGCCAGAAGTAAGTCTTACTACATTTTCTTGACAATTTAGTTGTATATTAATTATTCATATCATCCATACATGGACAGAATCTTAACTCTAGCTTAGAGGTTATATTGACAATGGTGACACACTATAATACTATGGGACCTGAGCTTCAAGCATACTAGTTTAACATGAAATTTAACTAACGGTGTTATACTGCTTCTGAATAAATTTTATAATGAATCAAATTTGGTTAGTAAACTTAACCGAATAATCACATAAACAAAATTTAATTCAAAATTGGATGCTAGCATTTTAGTTGTTCCAAAAAGCGGATATTTTTTTGAGAACTAGAAGGCGAATATAGAGAGTAAGAGATTACATTTGAATAAGTAATTAGAGCTAAACTATAAGAAAAATAGAATTTGTTTGATGTCTTTATATATAGCCAAACATATTACACATTTTCTTACCGTACTCTTTCAGTATCAAGTGACATGTTACATGTTTACATATCAGTTTGAACTTGTAAAACTTATTTAATTGTTTAATATACAAGTGTGCTCATTGAGCAAGTTTTATGGGCATCACGGTATAGGTGCCAAACCTTCTCTTTTTACACTACATTCAGGTATCAGTGCCTAGAAAATGTAAATGTAAAATAAAACATAGGAATACTATGTACAAATTGAAATAGCTAATAGTTGGAAATACCTACTGTATTTCAATATATTAGGTACAAAATAATCCAAATATGCACACAGCCACTTCAAAAAAGCTTTTACTATTTCATTGAGACAAAACTGTCCTATCAGAGTTTCACGACCAATTGATGACATAACGTATGAACAGAGGTTTTAATGAGATTGTTCTATTTTCAACTCAAACAGAACTGGCTATATTGAAAAAAAACTTGACCCACCAGTCCTATTTGTTTTGACATTCGCCATTGTTGATCTGTTGAGGTGACTAGTGCTGGTAGTGGCCTGGGGAGAGAGTTGGCCCTCGGGTTTGCCCACCACGGAGCCTCGGTGGCCTGTGTGGACGCTGACAAGAGAGCGGCGTTGGAAACAGCTGAGGAGATTGTCAGAGACGGTGAGAGGGCTAAGGTAAGTCATGTTCAGATTTATTTTACGTACATAGTGATTCTGACCAAAGATCATACAATTTCTGATTTGAACAGCTAACTTGCTGTTTGTTGACATAATTTTATATAGTTTACTAAACGGTAATCTGATCAGTGAAAGTGATTACTGATCGTGATTAGTGTCAGTTTCAGGTAATATGGTTTTGGTAGAAACTAGAACGCCAGAAATATAGTAATAGTACGCCCTAAATAAATCAGAAACAAACAAAGCTATAAATCTATAACAAACTATTTGAAGAACGATATTTTCTTTTGGCTGATCCGCATATGCGGCAGTTGCCAAGCGCTTAACAGTAAATTTACTCACCAAAAGTCTACTCGGCATTCAGTGAACATTGCTTGTCGTTTTCCGCTCTGTGTCGTTGTCGGTCTTTTCCACGTCGTGGATACAAATAGTAGCTCACAAAGTAAAATATTTTGTGCTTGGCGAATGCCTAGTGTACGGGGATCTGCCGTTATGGTAGCTGAACAAATTGAGTTCAACCATTTCCATAAGAATTGAGAGTAAAATAAATTGGGCCCCCAAGGCATACCATACGGATGTGAGGAGCCCAGAGCAGGTTGCCAAGCTGAGTGAGGCGGTGGCTAGGGACCTTGGTCTTTTGGACATCCTTGTTGTCTACCACACGTCCTTCGTCTCACAAGCTGTGGAGGACACTTTGGACTCAACTGCCAGGACATTGGTCGAAGACAACTTTCTCAGCCATGTCTGGGTGAGTAAACATCCAACTAACACAAGCAATCTTTAACAGTTTACTTATTCTCCATTAAAATATCATGGGAGTTTTAAATGTACAAGTTTTTGAAATACAGTATCTCCTTGAAAGTGCCAAAACACTTCAATGTATGCTACTAAATTATTCGTTTTTTTTTAAGCTCTTCATAAAGATTTAGAGAAATTTAGTAATTTTATGTTTTGATGGTCAAAAAATGAGGAAACTAATTTTTACCACAAGAAAATCCCAACAAAGACTTTTTCCCATGGTCAGATCATGCTGGACAAACTCGTTTCAATCCTCCATATTATTTTGCCTTCCAGGTTGAATTAACCATCAATTTAGGTATAGTTGTTGTTACAACCACATGACATGTTTGCAGATGGTGAGAGAGTTCCTGCCCCGCATGAAGCAGCGAGGTGCGGGTCATATAGTATCAGTGACATCACTAGCAGGGCAGGCTGGCTTGGCGGGGGCTGCTGTATACTCTGGTACCTGCTGGGCTGTCAATGGTCAGTACAGCGGGACACCACAATACAGATATCATCACACAGATATTGGTTTGCAGAGCCGGCCTTAGGCATGTGCGAAAGGTGCGGCTGCACAGGGCAATCTTTTAGCTTTTTGTTGAGGATATGATCCGTTTGCTATTCTTAAATCATTTTGTAGATTTCATACTCCTCAAGTGTATCCAGTTCGATACCTTTCCTACAAAAATGTACTTCTAGGCCCATGGTTGACACTCATAGAATGACCATTGTCGACAAGATGCTGGCCAAAAGCAGACTTTTGTTTGTTATTTTTCAAAACTGGCTGGTGTTTTTATAACCTCTTTCAAACTCACAACCAGTTTGTCCAATGTTCCAATGGGAAGTTTTCTATTAACCCCTCAGTTTTTGCGTGCTGTTGCATAGCAGGTGTTTTAGACAAAAAATGCCTTATTTTGTTTTGCAGTTTCTAAAGTCAGTTCAATAACATGTTTGGATAATTCTTGGATTGTTATAACGGTACTTAATTAGAGATTAATTAAGAATCTCTAAACTTGAAGGGATATTTTTTTCATGATGATCTCTGTATCTATATTTTCTATAAATAAAAAGGTTAAATATCTGTTGTACCAAGAAATGATAATATTTTTATAAATGTTTTCTTTTATCGGTACAATCGAGAACCTGTAAAAATAATGAGCAGTATTAGATACTAATAATTAAAAACCAATGGAAGTTTTGTCAAGCATCTTGAATATAATTGTGGTTTGAACTTACGTGTTTGATATCTGCCTCAATGAAACTATTAAATAATGACATTTCTTGTAGTACAATTTAAATATTATTCCAGGTTTTATGGAAAGTGTGAAAACGGAAGTTCTCTTGGAAGGGCATGATAACATACAATTCACAATAGTGAATGCAGCTGTTATGGATACTTCACTATCAAAAAACTACTCACTAAATGCAATGTAAGTAATTATTCATAGTTTTGGTAAAAAAATCTACTCAACATCAATATCTTTGAGCTACCATATCATTACTTCATTTGAAATATCAAACACCCATCAAAACAGGCTTATGATTTCAGACAAGAAGTGTCTATAGCTAATGATATAATCTTATAAGCTTACATTTAAAGAGAAATATGATTATTCATCCATCTACTTGTAAAGAACATTACTCATCTTGTTGATCTATTCTTTAAACACTGCATTACGTAGTTATAAGCTAAAATAGATTTGATTATGTTTGATAGTTTGTTTATTTAAAATATATTTTATCATAAATCTTTTACTACCCTTCTTTTTGCCTCTTCAAAGCATTGTAGTACATTGTAGTGCATTGTATTGTAGAGAATAGGCCTATGATATATTACATTTTTTTTACTTTCTAATTGTTGCTTTTGTTAACTTTTCAAACTGTGGTATAAGTTATTAGTTTGAAATGTATTTTTTTTATTTAATGTACATTGTAAAATCATTTCCCATTCGACTTAACTGTTCTGTAAGCAAAATGCTGTCTTCTCAAATATATAGTAAAATATGTTTAGGCCTACTGGAAATAAATCTTGTTTCTTGTTCCTCGGTCAGCATGGCATAGACTAAGGGAGTATGTTTTATCTATGGTAATGGCTACACAATCCTCCTCAACTGGCGATGGCTCATACCCTAAAGAAGACTTTTCAAATCTTTTTTCATATAATTCATTATACATATGATATGTTCCAGACAGAGGTTAGGTACTAGGTTGCCAGAGGTGGTTGCTGCCTACGTCATCTCTGGAGTGAGAAGAAACCTAGTATATGTCAACATACCTGAGCAGATATACTGGATGTGTATCTTGGCCAAGTAAGTATTTGTATTGTAAACCTCACAAGTGACTGTGGTGACATTTCTGTTCAGAGTAAACAGCTATTTGTTAGCCATTTAAATTACATATTATGAATTATCATATTTATCTTTTAATGTATGAGAATCTACTACAAATTTTAAACAGATTTATCATTTGTAAGTTAGTTATAATGAACAAGTTTTACTGACCTTCTTTTACAGATGTTCTTTCGGATTTGAGGAAGAAGGATTGATCCACATCACATTAAATAATTTATATGAACATTTTTTATAAAATATCCACATTATCTATCTATCTATTCTATATTATTAATACGCTACAAGAAACTTAGTGAACAATAAGGCTTTTTAGTTTTAAGATTTAACCCCACATATTATATACCAAAATGTTCGACTAGTTGTGTAGATTTGCAAACTGACCTTATATTTTTGAAAAAGTCCCTTTGGCTCTACCCCAGTGGCTTTTAAAGTTCCCATGTCATCCTTATGAATAACATATTTGTTTTCACTACACTATCATGTTTTTAGCGGTTTTACATACGTTAATTGGTGGCTGAAAGTTATGTTTTGCTGGCCATGCCAGCTGTCATCGTTATTTTTTGACCGAGCAGGTTTTTACATCCCTAGGACCGCAAAATCAGCTGCCCGCTTACTTACTTAAGACATGAATGCATATTAAATATACAATCAGTATCCATAGCATTGCAATAGAATTATTGTTTTATTGTCACCGTTGCCTAGCAACTATTTATTTATATTTTTGCTGATTCCTCAAATCGTTTCCTCACATAACCTCAAACTTGTAGTTGTGTTGACTATCAGTGTGCATTATTATAGTGGTGAATAGTGGTAATAGGGTATAGTGTGGTGAAAAATAGCATTCGAACCACGGACCGAAATGGTTTTGCAGCTCTCGATCGATTTAAGTTCTCGACTTCGTCTCGAGCTTAAAAACTATCTCGAGCCGGCAAAACCTCATTTTTGGCCCTAGGTACGAAATATACTATTACATTATGACAACCTGAATAATGTAATTGCTGTTAATAATTTAATAATTTAGTTGCAATTTGGAATTTGCTACTAACATTTTCTGACTTGGTTAAAAATAAATATTTACTATTTGAATTTGGGTTGGCGTAGATATTACAATGGAAAAAGTGAGAAAGCCTAGACAATTTGATAAACTAAAATGAAAACTGAACTAACACTGTGCTGCATTTTTGAGCAAAAATTGAAAGAGTCAATTTGCAAACTATGGAAACTTAGGAAGGTCATAGAACATCACCAAGTAAAATAAATACAAATAATATATTTTTTAAAGAATTTATAATCATTATTATGGGCAACCTAATGCAGCTATGAGTGGGAAACATTTGTAGAAAACACTGAAAAAAAGATCAGCTTTTGAAAAATGATAAGATATATTTACAATAAATGTTGATTATATCGATCTGTTATGTAGGTCTACATTGTGAGTATTTCCATAATATTTGAGTCGACTCCTTTAAAGTCATCGGAAATTATGTCTGCCATTCGTTTCAAAATAACACCTGTAATACTTCGCAATTGCTCGAATTCGAGCAACAGGTAGGCCTACACTAGTCTTGATTAATCTAGAATTTTAGTTTAGTCCAAATAAAATTATAATGAAATAACTGACAGTTGATATGGAGTTTGGCTCAAGTAGACTATTTTGGTCAACATCTGTTTTTAATGGGTTTCCAATATCTTGATTACATTGTGTGGTACTATTATTCTGTGTGATATTTTCACAGACTTCTTCCAACTACAGTAGTTGACTGGGCACATAAACTTTTTGGTATGGAACCCAAACCAAGCAGCACCAAGACTCTGTAGAAGATACGGACAGGAAATTTCACTACAGAAGCCTTTCACTCATAGCTCACCTATATTCTAATATATAAAAGTGAGATGGTGAGATAGGGTTAGCAGAAACATAATTATCGTGGTGAAGTTAAACTTTGTTTTTTAACCCTTTCGACTCTCATTTTAGGGCTACGCAAACCATGCCCTAGGTTTAATATATTATGCAGAGATCATTAAGCTTACTTGTATTTAAACTTCAAATCATAGCCTACTAATAATAACAAATAAATAAAAATTTGTAAGAAAATTCATATTTTTTTAAGAACCAAAATTTTATCTTCTACATCTTCATGCCTTTGAAAAGCACGGATGAGTTTGTCCCTTTTTATTATAAGTGAGTGTGTCTTTGTCTGTTGGTTGATGTGTGTAGAAATTAACATGATATTATGCAAATAACAGTTAAATAACAGTTGTAGGCAAAGTAGAAGGGTTATTAAATGTATAGAAATGTAATTACATATTTTTTCCCATTTTACTCTTAATTAAAAAGAACCATTTTATGGTTGACAACATAGTGATTTTATGGTTTAATTGTACCACGTAAATAGTATATGTTAAACAAAACTGACATTTTTGCTTCTGTAGATCACATAATGTGACTTGAAATAAGTTTGACTTAATTTCAAGAAACAATAAAATGAAACAAAAATATCCATCACCATCAACGTGAAGTTAGGACTGACAAATATCAAGGTTAACTATAGTACGATTGATTTCAGTTATAATGTCAATTTATCACTGTTGTAAAACTGTAAACACTAATACATTGATTGGTATGCAATTAAAAATAATGATAGAGTATTATCATGTTTTGAAGTATTTAAAACCTAATTAGATAGCCTAGTTGGTGAAATAAATTTGAGGAAATAATGTAAATAAACTGTTTAAGAAAAAAAACAATCCAAGAAAACTCATTTGCATGCAAACCAAATGATCTGAAAGTCACAGTACGTCTGAAAAGTTGGAAAAGGCATTCTGATAGTGAATGCCTCTAAATAAATCCACCTTCTGTCGTTTTGCAGATTAACCTTTTATGTTGGGCAGAGAGAATAAACAGATAGGATCAGGCGGAATGGCACCAATTTCATTACACTGAGTGAAAAATGAGGGCATAAATTGAGCGGGAAAGACGGAATTGGCGGGAGCGTTGGCGATTTGCATCCGAAATACGGTTTCAACTGAAAGGTTTTCAAAGTTGGAACATTCTCATCTTATGTCACATAATAGATAAGTTCTGCTAAGAGGCAATTTGACTGTTGTAAATAATTCTGTGTAAATTTAAAATTGAATAGCTGAATAATTACAACTAAACTATCTATATTACTTTTATAGATTCAAATGATCCTAGAATACTAAAGAGTTTTTTTATGTGTGGTGATAGCTCCTGCAACTTAATCCAGGCCGACCGCTTATTTATCCATGTGATTTCAGTATTATACAACAACTTTCTATTGAAAAAGTTGTATGTACCTCTAGTACATGTACAAAAGGTAGGATCATCATAATCATTATTATTACATACATTGTATCTTCAACTGTAACAAAAATGAAAAAGTCTGTTCAATAGGCTAGTTATTTCTTAAATAATTGTAATATACACATTTTCTATAATTTTGGAACAGTTTCAAGCGTTTAATAGACTAATGAAGAGTTCTATTTTTAAATTAATCATTACTAAATAACCATTATACTTAATAAATTTAGAGCAATAAAAAATGTTTGATTAGTTTACTTTACATTAAGGTGTGAAAGTAAATATATTTAATAATTTAATATACATTAGGTACACATTAAAACACACTCGAACTTATTTAATAAACTACTACAGCAAATAAACAATACAATTTTTCATATGGCCAACAACATAAAACACACACAAGTTTAGTATGCAACATAACAATAATAATTGTATAATGCCATTTTTACAGTACATTTTTCTGTTTACTCAAGTGCATTGAAGCAAAGAGAGAACTAACGATTAGTATTGTCTGAAAGACTAATCTATTTCATTAATTCATCAGAAAACTCCTCAAATTTTTATTACAATCAGTTACCGTCTTGTACAATAGTTGAATACAGACCTACAGTACAGTAGTACAGAGAACAACTAAGGTTAATAGGTATAAAGCCCAGGCAGTGAGGTGAATGATATTAGCACACATTTACATTGTAACAGCCTTCACTAGAATACACCACTGCACCACTCCATCAACGCTTTGTAGCTCTGCTGACTTGAACTATGTGATCTCTTGAGATGGGTACTTCACAATATCCTTTGAGATGTATATCCCTATCAGATATTGTACTTATAAGGATAAAAAAAAAAAAAAAACTATAGCTTTCATTTTTATTCATCTTTATTACAGCATTTCTCCCAAATACATAATTATGTGTCCGATTTATAAAATGGAATTGAGCATTATCATTGGAATCAATTTAGTTACAGTACACAACTTTTTATATAATAGTTTCATAATTGTAAAGTAGAAGATTCATCACTAGGGCCTAAAGTGACTCTTTTCAACCCCAAATCAAGTTTTAAGATCGAGGAGAAGCTGAGGTCAAAATACCCCCGCCGCAGCAAACCTGCCGACTAAGCGAATTTCCATTTGTCTGAATTGATTTTCAGTTAAATATATTTTAATAACATTAGGTTTAACGAGTATCTAGGTTTGCTGCTACAAGGAAACTAATAAAGTGTGTTTTGAGTAAAATATTGATAGCTTAGTACAAAATAAATAAATTTGCCAAGTTTGATCTAAATATATTCATAAACAAGCAAACTACAACATTTGACAATATTCTCCATAAGAATAACATGGGAATTTTAAATTTACAATTATTTTAACTTTCTCCGTTACTAATAATCGAACAAAAATACTTTTATATACTAAATTATTTGTTTTTTCAAGCTCTTTAAAAAGGTCCAAAGAGAAATTGGGAAATTTTGTCTTTTGAGGGTCAAAAGTGAGAAAAACCAATTTTTACCCCATAAAAACCCCCGTAAAGCCCCGTTCCCATGGTCCGATCGTGCTGGTTCGCGAACTCATTCAAGTTTATCCCGCTTTACACCTTTAAACCAAATTTAATCAAAATCGGACAAAAATTACTCAAGTTATCGCGTTCACGGACGTATATATATATATATATATATATATATATATATATATATAAACATATATAAAAATTTGAACGAATAGTGTTCTTGGCCTCTGGGGACATCAAAATGAAAAAGTAAATCGGTCCCGGGTCTAGGTCTTACCGTGCCACCCACGGTAATAGCTACTTCCCTATAGGGAAATTCGCTAAAATGAGCGAGGGTTGAAAAACCGATTTTTACCCGTGTGATGAACTATATTTTTCACCATATTCCACTATTATTTGAACAAACTAAACTAAAATAGTTTTCATTTAAATGACCTCTCAAAATGTCGTCTACATTGTACCATCGATATCTTGAACTATTTACAATAAGGCAAGAATAAGCTACAATCAATTAAACAATCGATAGGCTACACACTTTCAAACGAGCGATTGTTTACAATCGAAATCTACAACTGAGTTGACCACAGCTGATTTTTACTGCCTATAGAGTAAAAATGCCACTTTAAACCCGCATGAACGCATGCATTAAAAACTGCTGTTTTTCTGCAATATGACGAAAAAATATTACCATTGCAATAAAAAATATATTATCTATTTAGTTGGTAAATAATAAAATTTTTGAAATTGTATTGGCTATATACTGTTCAAACGATAAAAAAAATAACAGTTAAAAACAAACTAACCACTACATTTTTGCAGTGTTTAGGTGCAAAATACACAATTTAAATATATCAACTCTGAAATTTGTTGAAAGAGAGAGAGAGAGAGAGGGTAATTAAAATATTGAAAACCACAACAAACAGCCAATATACCAGTTTATTTAAGTTATGTATAATTATCTTTATACTGATGTATTTCCTCTTTACAACATTTTAATTTAAAGTAGCACTAAAACACAAGCTTTATACGTCCAAATTGAACTAATCAAATTATTACACTTTTCAACAATGTTACTCTTTTAATTGCTTGTTTTTTATATGCTCGGAAGTTAAGTTATGTGTACGATCAGTTAGTTTTTCCTCTTCAGACGGTGGTTTGAGTTTGCAATATAAGATAGAAAACAAATAATTTCCTATATCAACTGGGAGTAATCTACAAACAGAAAAAAAACACAAATTAAACTAATGGTATATTTCATAACTATACAGTGACTATTTTCGACCCGAGCTCAGGTTTACAATTAAAGCGAAGCCTAGGTCGGAAAAAGAGTGAGGGTTGAAACAACACATTTTTCCAGTGTGATTAACTATATTTTTTGTCAAATTGCGACATTATTTAAACAAACTATGCTACAAAAACCTAAATAGTTTTCATTCAAAGATAACGTCTCCAAACTACTTTTGAACTTGTTTTCAATTTAATTTTCCTAATGGAAACAAGCAGCTTTTTAGTAAGTAATTCAATCGTTTTGTCTCTTACGATTGTGTTAGTGTACATTGTACTATTGATATTTCGAATGATTAACAAAATAAAAATATCGAAATATCGAATAAATATCAATGAAATATATTATATATCATATATTATGTATATAATATATCAAAGAAATATCGAATGATTGATATTTCGAAATAAGGCAACAATAAGCTACAAATCGATTAAACAATCATTACATACTTTCAATACATGCGATTATTTACAATCGAAATTTACAACTGAGTTGACAACAGCTGATTTTTAATCCCTAGGGGCTAAAACACTTTTTACTTCCTAGAGAGTAAAAATGCTACTTATAACCCGCTAAACATGCATTAAAAACGGCTGTTTTTGCTGCAGTATGACAAAAACATTTTACCTATTGGTACATGTTCCAGGAAATATAATTGTGTAAAATAAATAAACTCATTAAATACTGTGAATATCAAGAACTGTGATATTTTTTATTGCACTGGTATATTGAATTTTATGTAAATTTATTGCTAATTCTAATAGAAATGTTATATATACCTTATAAGTGTTATACTATTTAAAATCAAATTTAAAATTATTTATAATACTATTAATTGTGTGATTCATTTTACCTGAGTATGATACCAATACTAATTCATCTTTTTTATTACATATAATGTAGTGAAAGAGTGGCTGTTTCAGTAATTA